GGCGGTACGCGGGGCTCCCACTGTTGTGGCCTCTCCCGTTGCGGAGCACAGGCTCCAGACGCCCAGGCTCAGCAGCCATGGCTCACGGGCCTAGCCGCTCCGCGGCATGTGGGATCTCTTCTCGGACGGGCATGAACCCGTGTCCCCTGCATCGCCAGGCAGACTCTCAACCACTGGGCCACCAGGGAAGCCCCAAGGTTACTTTTTAATCGTAAAATTGTGGGAATATGTCCTACAAAGATAACAACTAACATTTATTATGTTCCTGGCACTATGCTAAAGGTTTTCTTGGGACTTCCCTGGTGGTCCAGTGGGTAAGACACCCCACTCACAATGCAGGGGGCTTGGGTTCAACCCCTGGTAGGGGAACTAGATGCCACATGCAGGCTGCAACTGAGAAGCCCACGTGCTGCAACTAAAAAGATCCGGCATGCCACAACTAAAACATGTTGCCACAAAGATCCCACGTGCTGCAACTAAGACCCGGACCCAGCCTAAATGAATAAATATTTTTTAAAAATTAAAGGTTTTCTTTCTATGTATAATCCCGTTTAATCCTCATAGTATTCCCATTCTACAAAAGGAACTGAGAGAGAAGGGTTAAGTAACCTGCTCTGTGTTACATAGGTAGTGAGGGGAGCTGGGAGTCAAAGCCAGCAACATGGCTCCAGATGTCTTTCAGAGAGCAGGATGTTTGAGGGCTAAGAGAAGGCAATGTGGCTGGAGGTCATGGCATATGTGGGGTAGAAGCAGAAGGCAAGGCCTCAAATGTTTATTTAGAGAATTTGGCTTTTCCTGTGGGCAATGGAAAATATTGGAGATTTTTAAGCAGGGGAGTATATGATTTGTGTGACTATATGTCCTGATTTGCTGGGGGATGTGATGTCCCAATTTATACCTCCCCCCGCCCCACATAATTAGTAAGTCTTCTTTTGCTCATGTGCCCAGCACAGACAAAAACCAATATGATCACCTTACATAGACCAAAGCTATACTTTACAAAGAACTCTGATAACAATATGGAAGACAAAGACTGGAGGCTGGGAGACAAGCACTGAGGTACTATCACTGTGAGTGGAAAAGGGACCCAGATTTAAGAAATCCATCTGAGGAACATTTAGAACTTTGTGCTCAGTTAGGATATGGTTGGTGAGGCAAATCTGAGTCCAGGAGACTCACATCTAGGTTTTTAGGTAGATAGTGACAGCAAATACAGGAGGAAGAGAATTGGTAGAATGGGGTGAAGGGTATGAGAGCTAATGAGCTCACATTCCTCTGACCTTTCTAGAGTTCATCAATGTTCCTTTTTTTTTTTTTCTTTTTGCGGTACACGGGCCTCTCACTGTTGTGGCCTCTCCCGTTGCGGAGCACAGGCTCCGGACGCGCAGGCTCAGCGGCCATGGCTCACGGGCCTAGCCACTCTGCGGCATGTGGGATCTTCCCGGACCGGGGCACGAATCCGTGTCCCCTGCATCTGCAGGCGGACTCTCAACCACTGTGCCACCAGGGAAGCCCCATCAATGCTCCTTTTAAAGTATGATATGCTACACTCTGCATAACCTTCCACACTGGGTCTGAATAGGAGGGTACAAGGGACTTCTGTCTTCCTTGATCTGGATCCATTTTTTCTATTATTGTACCAGACTTCATGATGATCTACTTACGCTGTGCTTGTATTTAACCAAACCTCTCTTTTTCACAGCCAATCTGATGCAAAGTAACACAGCTCTCCCACCAGATCACATCACTCCTTATTTTCTTCACAATGTTTATCTATAAAATTGATGTCTTGCTTGTTTACTTTATTGATTATCACCATTCATTGGAATATAAACTCCATGAGAGCCTGGATTTTGCCCTCTTGTTCACAACTATGTATCATCAGTGTATAGAACAGTGCTTGATATTATAGGCCTAAAAATTATTTGTTGAAAGAATATCAGATAGTTATTATTTCATACATATAAAACAGTTTTTAAACCAAAATGCAAGACTGACTGACTGATAACCCCTGTTAAATTTTTTGTTGGTTTCATTCCGGGGTTCTTAGATTGTACAGATGGTTTTCAACTTTCAATTCATTCATCCAACAAACACTGAGTACCAAATTGTGTCAGGTGCTGGGTTACAAGAGAACAAAATAAACATGGTTCCTACTCTCCTGGAGCTTACAGTCCATATAACAGACAAATACACAGGCAATTACAACCGTATATAAGTGCTATTAAAAGGAAAGTACAATCTTCTAGAAAGGTATTTAGGAGGGGCACCCTTCCAAGCCAAACTAGCTGGGTTACTGAAGGCTTCCTGGAGGAATATCCAAAATGTTAAGTCAGTGGTGGCTAAAGAAAGTACGGAGATCATGCTGGAGAGAGGACATTCCATCTACCTCCTCCTATTAATTAGAAGGCACTCTGAGTGAGGATAGGTATTGCTTCTTATTTATCTGGGTCTACTCCAGAGTTTAGTTCAGCACATTAAATAGAATAGATGATCAATAAGTGATTTTTGAGTTGAATGGAAAAAACAATTACTTACAGCTAGAAGTGCTGACTTTCATTCAGAGGAGCTGAGTAGGTTTCAGCCAAAGCTTAAAAATTCACTTTTCTGGCATCTTTGCAATATGGAACTAGACAGTTTTCTATAACTTGGTTAGCCTGATATTATGTTCTAGTTATAATGCATAGATAAAAAGCTTAACAAATATCCTGTTCCATCTTAGAGAATACAAAACAGAAACTCAAGTTCAGCACTTCATTGTACTAGATAAAAATGCAACTAAATATCTGACTTTGGAATATTCTTAAGTCCAGAAATACACACCATTTTAAAGGTATAACTGATTTCAAAGTGCTTCTGGTAAAAAACAGTATTTCCATTTTATATTTTAACAAGTGAATAGTTAGGATGCTATATAGCATAAGTTCTCACTTGTGAATGGATGATTCCCAGGGGCCACAGAGTTACTGGTAATATTAAAGAAACTACCAAAGTACTTAGCAAAGTCTATAGTTTCACTGTCCAATATGGTAGCCACTAGCTACACGAAACTACTGAGCACTTGAATTGTGGCTAGTCTGAAGTAAGACATGCTGTAGCTGTAAAATGCACACCAGATTTCAAAGACTTTATATGGAACAAAGAATGTTATATATCTCAGTCATTTTTACATTTTTATATTGAGTTTTATGTTGACATTCTATTTTGGAATATATTAGACTTAATGTATTATTAAAATTAATTTCACAATATTTACAATAACCAGGACATGGAAGCAACCTAAATGTCCATTAACAGATGAATGGATGAAGATGTGGTACATATATACAATGGAATATTACTCAGCCATCAAAAAGAACGAAATAATGCCATTTGCAGTGACATGGATGGACCTAGAGATTGTCGTACTTTTAAAAAAATATTTATTTAT